GCTCCCTTTTATTCTACAGAATGTGGATCGACCGAGAAAGCCGCGATTTCGTGTGTTAATCAACGACGACCGTTTGTCGCTTCGTTCCCGTCGATAGCGCCATGAGACTGATCGAAATACGAGCCGAGTAACCGGCGAGGAATTGTCGTCGCGTCGTTACGACATTTCGTATGCTCGGCATCGCGCGCGCTGCCTGTTTATCTGTGGACATTTTACCGAGCACGTTTCCTGGAGCGTGCACGCGTGTTACGTTAATGCACTCGCCCGAGAAAGCGAGTCGAGTTTAGAGATGCTCAGATGTGTATCAGGGGATAGTTACCGGATTATATCGCCGCTGCATCGCGCTTCTTCGCCAGCCGCGCATCTATGATTCGCCTCTCTCGGATTCACACGGACTGCGTATTCCCTTTGCGGATACGAATCGGCCGAAAAACGTCACTGGCTGGGACTCCGCGTAGCGATAACCACGATGTACGACCACTGTCCGGCGCTTAGCTGCAGCTAATGGCGTCGCTTGACTTATTGTCGCGACGCGCCACCGTTCTCGCGCCACGGTGTGAAATTGCCGCGGGACGCTCCGAATCTCTTATTGGCTCTTATTCGCCGTTTCAAACACCTGCTTCTTATTGGCTCGTTCGTTTTTCGTCTTGTTCAATCTTCACTTATATATTATCACTTATATATACCCATCTGTCTTACCGACACGAGCCCGAGAAAACACGACCGATGGTACGATTCTGTAACTCTTCACGACAATGTCGTTATCGTTATGTTGTCGTTGCGCAGTTTTTTTACCATTGACCAATTCCATTCTCACGATTCGAGAATAATCGATTAGTCTATATTTGCCTACTACTTACTTCATTCTACTATTCTTATCGCCATTGTAGACCACGCTTTATACCTGCGCAAGGACAACGTAACGATAACTGTCGTTAAGAGTTACAAAATCACGTCGCGTTCCTATGTCGATAGCGTCATGAAACTGAAATCGAAATTCGATTCGAGTAATCGACATGAAGCTGTCACCGCGTCGTTTTGGAGTTTCATGTGGTCGGTATCGCGTGTGTTTATCTGAACATTTGGCCGAGTGCATTTCTCAGACAGAGCGCGCGCTACGTTAATAAACTCGTTCGGGAAAGTGCGTTCGAAGCCCGAAGGCCAAGTTTAGATGCCCAGATACATCGGAGGATAGATGCCAGAAGAAGCCAGCGCGCGCGCGTAAACCATACTCTAACTTAACCTCCCGAGATATATATATATACACACACACCGCGTGCGCCAAATGTTCTCCGTTCACGCTGGAATTGTGCCACCTCATATTTTAGGTGGAAGTTGCTCGTACGGTAATCTCCAGTCGCGCTGGATCGCCAACGAGCTCTGGTTAGTGCATCTCCGCGTATACATCGTAATTAGGGATAAATTCTCCCGCGTGAGAAAGACAGAGAGAGAGAGAGAGGCGTACAGTTATGACTCAAGATGCAGAATCGTATTCTCCCTCGCGAAAATCATCCTGGCTACGTGAACCGAGACTCCATCGTCACATACGACGCATCGTCTCCAGAGGAACTCGCGATAACCATCGTCGCATCTGCAAAATTAGCATAATTGAGAAAAAGAGGGAAAAACAAGGGAACTCGCGCGCAGAATTTACGCGCAGCGATTAATTCACGCCGAAGTTTCTCGTGGATTCGGCCCAGCCGAGTTTCCCGGCGATTCGTTTCCGCGAACTGTCTTCCCATTTTCGCCCGCAAGCGACCGCGCCAACTTCCACGCGAAGGACAGATCGTCGAATTCTGACGGATCGTGTTTCGCATGGAAAACCTCCTCCTCGTTCCTCTCGCGGCTGGTCGGCAGACGAGACTCGCAGGCGGGGGCGATCGCGGTGAGAATCTCATGATTAATGTCCGTGACGCGCGATTTGATATAAAACCCGACACCGGCCGCCGTCAGTTTTACCAACTAACGAGGGTGCATAACGCATACCTTAATCCATACCTCGCCATAAATCTCGCCGCAGCGTTTTGATTTACGTGCCTCTCTGGGCGGCGCGTGAACGAGTATTCGCGAAGAAACGCGTGCTATCGCGCCGTGAACTACCCATTGTTTACACGCGCCGACGTCCTTTCACGCGCGGCAGAATTGGTACTCCCCCTCCCACCCCACTCTGCTCTACATTCCTAGACGCGAGATCACGACGCGCTATCGGAGCAGCGTATTAACAACAAATCGCTGATCAGAGCGCGGCCCGAGAACGCGTGCGTCTTTTGTGGCTTGACCGCGCCGAACGAAGGCACCCTCGCCGGATCTCAATGTCCTCGGGACGTTGTACGATCGAGCGAACGTGAACGCAAATAAACCACGCGTCTGGAAAGGTCCTGCCGTATTAATATGTATATAAACTTTTAATCAGTTGTCGGCGCGCGCGCTGCCACCGCTATTCGCAGAAACTAGTTATGCGCGGGAGCAAAAAGAGCAAAAAATTTCCATAGAAGAGGAGTGTATCGTAACCCAAACAACGTCGGCAGGCCCGTGGATTCCACGCAGGGGGGGAGGGCTGAGGCTTTAAAAGTGATTTATTGCTGAGTCCCTTCTGCCTCTCCCGCTCCTCTCTCTTTCTCTCTATCTTACCGGACCCCGTGTTACCTTCGCTTTACGCAATACATTAACGGACACTCGTTTCGTCGAACGAGTCCTATGTATAATAGTTCCTCGAATCGTTGGCTTTTGATGTATCAGCAGGTCGCAGGATGAGAAACACAGCGTATCGTGTATCACGAGGGCGCGATCCTCCGAGGTGCGCGCATCGATCGTAATTCTCCTCCGTGACGCGGGAGTGGCGGATGAAAAGCAATCGGCGATGCAGGCTAAAACGCTTACTTCGCCTGAGTCGTTTTTTCGGGCAAACTGTTCTTGACGCGCGTTGCGACGTGATCGTCAACGAGATTGGAAAATCTCTCTGGTGCGCGGAGCTCCGAGGGAAATTCGAAGGGAGAGATCGCGTACGTTGTATGCGCTCGTCGTTGACGGATTAATTCTCGGCGCGCGCGCTCTGTGGTCGCGCCGGGGCGAAAATCCAAAGCCGACGCGCGTACGTCTCTATTGAGACCTCGCTTCCGTGCAGCTGCGGCGGATGCATCTCGCCGATGCATTTCGTACGCGCCAATCGGCCGTATCGGGATCCGAGCCACACACGTAGCGACGTCGGCTTCTCCTCCTCTCCCTCCTTCCACCTCCTGCTGCTCCTGCTCCGCCACCTCGACCCCGTACTCCCTTATTCCAACGCGGGTGTATAACGCGCCGCCACGGGCGTCTTATAAATAGCGACGCCCGCGCGTCGGGACGCGCGGCTAGCGGTTAACAAACGGTAAAACCAACACCCGCCTCCTACAATAACATTTCGCTCCGGTCACGTGTTCCCCGCGGCTCGACTATTATAAGATCCATGACTGCTTCGATCCCTTCCTCCCCCGTCCCTCTGTTTCCCTCCTCTATCTCTGTCGCTCTGTCCTCGTCGGTTTCTCCGTCCGTTCTCCTCGGCCGCGTACCCTTTAGCCTCTTCCTGCGTCCACCTTCTCTGTCCTGCGTGATGGCCCGACATTGGTCGCACATTCTTCGAATGGATATTCACTCGGCTCGATTATTCCGACAGAAGTTTATCGTTATTCGCGTCATGAATAAAGCATCTGTTGTGTATCTTAATTGCGAATTGAAAAATTCGTTCTCTCTACTTTGAGAGCTCGAGTGCGCTCCACGCAAAGTACGCACAGCTCGAGCGAAGTTATTACATCCGGGCGCAATGTTTATGTCTGATACACGAATACACTTTTACACGCGAGCGGGGGGTTACTTCTTATTCACGAACGAGACCTTCCTTCTCGGCCGTCATTTGTTATCCATAAATTTGCCCAGGCTCCTCGAGGAGTACGGCGCCGTGCGGCAGCGATCGCATCGGCTTTGGCTCGGCTCGGCTCCGCGAAAGACGTATCGGTTTCGAACGGGTATCTAGCAAACGATCGAAACACCGACGTTGATTTATGTACGAGACATCCGAGAGCGCTACGCCCTTGCTCGTTAAGGTCGAGCGAGCGAGCGAACGGCCAGACGCATCCAGCTATTTAGGCATCGATCGCCGGCTCGGACTTTTACGAAGGAGCGGATACACCCGACCGGGTTACCGAAACGAACGGCCCCGCGCGCTTTGATAGTCTGAATTGCAAACGAAGCGACGATGGTACGACCGTAGGTACGTGCGCTCCGACCGGGCGCCCGGAGCGCGTTCCTCGCACAGGATTAAGCTCGCAGCATCTGCTCGCCGCTCTCTCGGGCCAATGAATACTCTATCTCCGGTAAATATTCCCTCCTACGTGCAAGCGGATTACGCTCTATCCGCAGAAACGAGTTATTAGCAATTACGGCCCCGGCATCGGTGCACTATCACTGGATACGAAAGGCTTAAGGACAATAATGCGTGATGAATCACGCGTAAGACTATAGAGCGTTAATGAGATCTCAGCATGCGTCGATTCTGCTTTATCCCATTTAAGTTTAAACATCCGATTTGACATACGAGTCTCTCTCCTCCTAGACTACGGAGGTCAGAGGAAAACAATAGTTCGCGCTAGAACTTTTCAAGTCAGAGTTAGGATACTGTTCGATTATTGTTTTGTATGGAGGAAGTGAATGAGTGAGAGAGAAACCGCGCAACGTGTTTCGTCATTTCAGTCTCGAGAAGAATTCACACCTGGACAGAAAAGCTGAAAACAGGCGGAAGTCAATCGCGCTGATAATCAGGTGATAGTCGACAGTTTCTGCAAATTCGTATTGGCTTCTGTCTTTCTGCTTTTCTACCAAACTGTGAATCACTCTCGTCATTCTTAAAAATGGTGGACAGAATGTGGACCAATCAGAAATCATCGTGCTTTTTGCCCTAACTCTGACTCTAGCTTCCGACATGAAAACGTCATCGATAAAAGAGGCCCTTTTGCTTACTGTTGCAGGCGGCAGTTATGCGAGCTACGCAGTCATGAATCGAGCGTCCTTGAACACGAGACCCGCGCGACGGACGAAGCTGTTCCCGACCCGAACGATGACGATGGGTCTGTTGATGTTACTGCTGGTGCTCGCGACGACGTTGTCGGACGCACGGTCGGAATCGGCCATCAGTCCAATAGGTAGTGTGGGATCAGGCTCAGGTGTCTCGTCTTCGTCCTCATCCGGCTCTTCGTCATCGTCGTCGTCATCGTCGTCGTCGTCATCATCATCTGTGATCGGCGTGGTGTCCGACGGTGGTTCGAGTTCGGGCAACAATGGAATGGGCAGCGTGGCGAATGGCGGTAACGGCGTGATGGGTAACGTCGGGGGTGGCATCGGCGGCAACGGCGGTATGAACGGCGGCGGTGGACATTCCGCAATCGGTAGCAGCAATGGGAACGGCCGTTGCGAGGAGATCACGATTCCCATGTGCCGCGGGATCGGTTACAACCTGACCGCCATGCCAAACGAGCTGAATCACGACAGTCAAGACGAGGCCGGACTGGAGGTTCATCAGTTCTGGCCGCTGGTGGAGATCAAGTGTTCACCGGACCTCAAGTTCTTTCTGTGTTCCATGTACACGCCGATCTGCTTGCCAGAGTACACGAAGCCATTGCCAGCTTGCCGTAGCGTTTGCGAGCGAGCACGCGCTGGCTGCGCACCGTTGATGCAGCAGTACGGCTTCTCGTGGCCGGAACGCATGGCATGCGACCGATTGCCGAATCACGGCGATCCAGAGCGCCTCTGTATGGAGCAAGACAATCACACCAGCAGCGCAGGCACCGGTGGCGGCGGCGGCGGAGGTGGCGGTAACGGCGGCTCGCCGAGCAGCGGCGCCCCAGCACCGCCGGGTCCGCCAGCGCGACCCACACGACCCTCCAAGACCGCGCAACCAGCCCGCTGCAAACCGGGTAAGAACCAAAAAAACTGCCAGCACCCCCCGGGGGAGAGGGCGAGGGACTGCGCGTGCAGGTGCAGGGCGCCCCTCGTGCCCCTGGGGGCGGTGGGCGCGATAATACCAGGACCGATAGGCGCCGGCAGCGGCAGCATCAGCGGAAGCACCAGCAACGGGGTCGGTCTGGCCGGCATGAACGTAAATGGAGCGATACCGGCGCCGCCGCCAATGGGAATCGGCCGCAACGTCATCCAGGACATTGCGGGAGTGCAAGACTGCGCCCTACCGTGCCACGGCGCGTTTCTCACCACCGAAGAACGAGGTTTCGCAGCCGTATGGCTAGCTCTGTGGAGCGGACTGTGCGCCGCCAGCACTCTGGTGACCGTCACCACGTTTCTGATCGACACCCAGCGTTTCAAGTATCCTGAGAGGCCGATAGTCTTCCTCTCGGCATGCTACTTCGTCGTGTCGGTGGGCTATCTGTCACGGAGCGTGTTCGGTCACGAGGAAATCGCCTGCGACGGTCCAGCCTTGAAGTCTGGTGCTCAAGGTCCGGGTGCCTGCGTCACCGTGTTCCTCATGATCTACTTCTTCGGTATGGCGTCCTCGGTGTGGTGGGTGATCCTAGCGTTTACGTGGTTCCTCGCAGCGGGTTTGAAGTGGGGCAACGAGGCGATAGCGTCGTACTCGCAGTACTTCCACCTGGTAGCTTGGCTGGCACCAACGGTGCAGACGGTTTGGGCATACGTCGCTGGCGGTGTTGCCGGCGATCCGGTAGCTGGAGTTTGCACGGTGGCGCCAGAGGGTGTGCGCAATTTCATCCTGGCGCCTTTGTTCGTTTACCTTCTGTTGGGCACGAGCTTCCTCCTGGCTGGCTTCGTGAGTCTCTTCCGCATTCGGTCGGTGATCAAGCGTCAACCCGGCGCCAAAGCGGACAAACTGGAAAAGCTGATGATTCGCATCGGCGTATTCAGCGTTCTCTACACCTTACCAGCGGGATTAGTGTTGGGTTGTCACATCTACGAGTCACATTGGCGAGACGAATGGCTCAGCTCGCTGGCGTGCCCCTGTCGACCGCGTGCGAGGCCGCTCTACTCTCTCCTGATGCTAAAATACTTCATGGCGCTCGCAGTCGGCATCACCTCGGGCGTCTGGATCTGGAGTGGCAAGACGGTCGACTCCTGGAAGCGACTGTGGAGGCGTTTGTTTGGCGGTGATCACGGCGTGAGCGGACATATGGGCGCCGGCGCTGGTATGATGGCTGGCGTGACCGGGGTTAGCGGCGGTATCGGCAGTGCTAGCATCAAGGGAGTTGTGGGTCGCGTGGCGGTGCCGTATCCACCGGCGCCGGGTCCAGGTAGCGCTCTGTTGCCACCTGGTAGCGTCGCCAGCGCGTCTCAACATCATCTCCATCATCACGTGCTCAAGCAACCCCCGCTTTCGCACGTATGACGTCACCAGTCGGCGGGAGGCGACATGAACACCGCTGGATGCGAGCAGCAGCAGCCGCAGCAAGAGAGGCCTTCCGCCCTTAGCAACTATGGGCCCATCTAGCCCTTCGCCTCGGCCTCGCGCAGGCACAACACGCCGCACACGGCACCGCATACCGCGCCGCATACTCCCCACTCGGCGGCGACGATATACTCCAGGAGGTCGCTTGCGTCCACGACGGGACCGCTAACTCCGGCGCACGGTATCGCGCCCTCCTACACGCAAGCCACCGAGGTGTGAGAGTACGCATAGAGGAGCCGGAAGCTCGCAACGCTGCGCCATCAGATGGGAGACTGTGACGCCGAGGCCGGTCACCATCATCGGCCACTTCCGCGCGATGAACGACGAGCGGCCGCAGTGCTTCTCGATTACCCGATATACGTATTAGCCTGTACGTGTCTTCTTCTCCCGCGGGAATCTCGAGAAATCCTCTCTTCAAGCTCATCGGCCTGGTTGTCGACGTTGTCGCCGTCGTCGTCGTCATCGTCGCTGGCGCCATCATCGTCGTCGTCAAGGACGTCTCTGTTGATTCCAAGGATTGAAGAGGGTGATGAAACGGTGAATCCTGGTGGACGACGTGGCGGGGACGTCATCAGGGTGACGGCCGTTTGTCGTCAGGGAGGATCGCTCGAGTGCCGCGGTCTAGTGAGATTGTGATGTAGACGAAAGAGACTTGGTGAACGAAGAGCTGCGAGAGCGCAGCGAACGGTCGATAGATTTCTCTGTCTTTATCCGTATCTATCTATCTATTCTCTCTCTAATCTTTCTTACATTCTTGTAGCGGCGCTCGTAAAGCCCGCGTGTCCGTCTAACGTGTATCGTCTCGTCTATTTATCTAATCTAGCCGTTAAAAAGCAGAAGCCACGTGGAGGTGCGTGCCACGAGTGCGTGTTGTATGTGCGCGAGCAACGGCGGCCTGCTCGCTCTTCCTGCCCCTCCTCGAAGAGGGAGGAGGGTGTCCACTGCCGCGGTGTTCTCGACATCCTCGAGATCCCTTCCTCCAGGTCCTTCTCGCAGAACGACCGAACCAAATTCCTCCCCACTGCCACGGATCGCGACAGACAGATCGCGGAAGTCTGAAAGTAGCTCACTGACGGGAGGGGAGCAGGCTGCCGCGCCCGTGACGAATGCGCGCGAGATAGAGCGAGTGTGTACAGGCAGAACGTCGAAGAAGTAACGAGTTGGGAATGGACTACTGTAAATATTGTTCTTAGATGTTAGTCGCGCTGTAAATAAAAACGGTCGCCAGACACGTTGTAGGATGTTTTTTTTTCTTTTTTTCGAAGAACGCGAGGATCGCGCTCGTGGCGAATGCGCCACGTGTATCCCCGACGCGCGTTCACGCGTCCCTTCACAGAGAGCAATTGTCAGTCAATACTTGCCGTTTGGCCGCCACGCATCGTAAGGTTCGTCGATTGGACCGCGTTGTGCAATGTCGTGCTGTAATCCGCCGCTTTCGCCGACTTTCCTCGAGACGAACGACGCGGGCTTCGGGATCTCTGGCGGCTTGTAAAATATTATCTCTACTCATGATTACTTAATATTTTTTATTTCACGTCTCATTGACGTTTCTCGATCAACAGTTTGCTCCGAAGTAATTTAACGGAAATTTTAGGAAGATTAACGCGTGAATTCCGGCTGAATCTGTTATATTTCGTTAAGTTTCGATTTGTAAATTTGTATTACCGAGTCTGTGAAGATCGTTTGCTTGCCTTCTTTCTTTTTTATTTTTCAGTTTACGATAAAAATGATTTGGTCCCAGATTGCATAACGCGGTCCGGATTGATCCGTGCGTGTTGTATCGCAATACTTTCGACTTAGATTCCATTCTGGTCGCCACGAGCGGCCGATCGTCATGGAATGCGAACGCGAATCCGTGCGCGTTCTTATCGCGAAAAAAAATGCGAGAAATAGTACATGTTATAAGTAAAACATACACAAACATATATATATATATATATATATACACACAGGTCTGCCTCGCGAAGATCACAATATAATTTAACACGTCGGTGTATTAGGTCGAAACCTTTTTATACCGTAAGTAAGGGCGTGTCACTTCCGTCGCGTTCGCGGGACACCGGCTCGCGATCGCAGGGTTCTCGCGGGGGACCGATGATAACACAACGGGAAGAGAAGGACGCGACGCCTTTGTATTCTTACCGTACTGCGCGCGCGTCGGATCGGCTGCTTCGCGCTCGCACGTGTCGCGAAGGGCGGCGAGCGCGACTCGATAGCGAGGAGGAAGAGGTCGCGAAAAGGGGCTCGAGCCGTCCCTACTTCGCCCGGGGGCGCGCCCCGGAAGGAAATCTATGCACCCCCCGAGTCTGCACAGCGGACTAGAGGAAAATTATGCACGCGCGCGTATGTAAGTCCCGGTGATTTAGAAGTAGCGCCAAAGCGAGATTACGCACGAGACGTATTACGGGAGGAGAGGTGAGGTGTGCGAGCGAGCGAGCTCTTTTAAGTACGTATTGTAAAGCGGCGTGCGCACTGCTGCTGACGCGCACACTACCGAACAAGTCGCCAGCAATATCGTTCATTCGGAATCTCCGCCGGCGCCGGAGACACGGAGAAAGCGAGAAATCGGGGGAACTTCTCCGCCGTCGTTTACCTCGTAATAGAGCTGCGACCGGACGTAATGAAATGCGACTGTATGAGCGTGTTTGATCGAGCGAATGACGTATGTGTGTATCCGGAACTTTCCCGGAGATCCGTGAGTCCACGACAACAAACGCAATAACTCGACGTTAAGCTGTAACAAACGAAAACGGTAAAAGGAGGAGGAGGAGGAGGAAGACGCAATGTCAACAATCGCGGATCACCACTGCCTCGGGTAATCACTTGATTGCGAGGAACGTAGAGCGAGTGCGCAGCAGAAAACGAACAAACTGTCTCGTGTAAATTACAAGAATGCGTAACCGTCGTGTCTCAGACGGAAACCTCTGCCAAAACGGAACGTACACGCGTAATGTTATAAAGGAGAAAAAAAAAGTAGCGGGAGTATAAAGACGTCTTACAATTAGTGTCCACATATCACTCCAATGCATAACAAGGGAGGGAAGGGAGGCAGAAGTGATCGATGTGTCGCGCGGGCATGAGGAGGGAGGTGGAAAGTGCGAGAGAATGCGAGAGAAGTGCTAGAGGATGCCGCCTCTCGTCGAGAACGTAAGTGCCGGAAATGCGATGGTCTGTGTCGCTCTCGCGGATCGCCGAAGAGATCCACGGTGCGACGAGAGGCGGTATCGACGGGACGGCGTTCGTGAGAACGCGCCCGAGAGAAAGGAAGTCTCTTTATAAAGCGAGTATTTGTAAGTCATACTTTTTTGTCACAATGATTGTCAATAAAATGGAGAAATACTGTGTATGTACTACAACGAATGTGTGTTTCGAGACGGGCCGGCGATACCTCTCGAGAAGAACGAAGCACGCGATATCGGAGCGCGCGCTCCTCTCTTCGCCTCCCTTCTTTTCTTTTGTCATCCGTGCGTGTTCCTCGTTCAGCATTTACGTTCTGCGCACGACGACGAGTTTGACATACGCGGCCGCCGCGCCGGTCGCTTTGTACAATTTTTCTTTTTTTTTTTTTTTACGTTGCCATAGTAACCGTAGATGATGTAATCGACGTTCCCCGTCGGTCGCGCGAAAGGGAAAAAGTATATATATATATATATAAAAAACAAGGAAAAACATATATGTGTATATATATATGCACACACACTCGCGCGTGTATATACATACGCGTATATCCAAATTGTATACGATTTTTAATACACTTTATTATTATTTAATTTTCTTGCGTCTCGTTGTTTTCCATCCTTCCCCGACGACTGACCTTCCACTCTTCCCGAGCGTCGCGTCGTCGTCGTCGTTGTTCGTTCGTTTTTCTTACACCAGTTTTTCCTCGCACACCCTCGGCGCGACGCCACAGGGCGTGGCGTACCAACGCCTCGTATCTCCCAAGTACAAATAAAAGCTGCGCTTTCGCCACGCTGAATCGTCGCGAAAGCAACGGTTTACGTTTGCGTGTAGACTGTTTATACGTAAATCGCGCTTTCCCTTCACCGATAACACTCATCCTCTTTCTCTCTCTTTCTCTCTCTTTATTTTCTTTAGCTCGCCGCCAATGTCTTCGTGTTCTTTTCAACGTGAAATCTTTGTTTAAATTGATTTGCGATTATATGTGTACTTGTAATACACATAAAAATGATGCAAACTGCATCTTCCGGGAAATCTTCTAGAAAGTTCCAAGTCAATCCATTTAACGCAACAGCGTGAAATATTGCCAATGTACGCTCTTATACATTTTGTAACTTGTAAAGGAGATACTCCGCGTTCTTTTTTAATTTATCGCTGCTACAAAGTTTCGTTACAGCTTGGCCGAGCAGCCTTGGTGATAAGAAGACAACGACTGCATCGGGCAGGTCGCCAGCCGAGAGTCCGGGGCGAACTACCCCGTGACGTGACTCACCGTGTAATGGGGATAAAGAGGAAGGAGACAGACGGGCGTAGAAGGGGTGCGGTCGAATTTATGGTTCGCTTCGAGGGTTATGCGTTTGCAGTCTGGTTGCTTGTGCCAAGAGATAAGAATCTTCCTCTCTCTCTTTCCTATATTCGCTCTCTCATTCCTTGGTTGTTGAATCAACCGTTCGTGCCTATACGTAGCTTCTAATTGGATCGACGCGACATCGCGGAAACGAGAATCGTCGCTGCGATGAAGAAAGCATGAAATAAACTGCTGCTGTCGCCAAGTATCGACGCGAGCGAGCTCCGCACGCAAACTCCAACCGTCACGGGAACAACGTTCAATTAATATTGTGCGTTAGAGATTGTCACCATTTATGCGCGAGCATGTCAATTCCGTATTACCGATTACGACGACGAGAGTCTAAGAATACAACCGGTTCTGGAGCGGGGACTCATTAATTCCTCAAGCAAAGTACAATCCACGTCAAGCCGAATCGCCGATGCAACTTATTTATTTACGAGACCATCTCTCTGGCCGAAATCCGCGCACGTGTTAGCGTTTCGTCGGGCCAGCCTGGGTGAATCGATAGTAGACGATTGAAACAGTCGTGATGATTGCGCTTCCAAACAATTGCGTAAATTGAGAAAACATGGGATTAAATAACAGAGGTAGGTCAATAGTCACGATAGAGAGTATGCCGTTCAAATTCAAAAATAGAAATCAAGTCAGAAATTTAAAAATATGGCACAATCTGGTGGTTTGTAGCAAAGTGAAACTTTCCAATAATTGATAACACGACCGATATAAGCCGAAAGCTTTTTTTCAAGTCAATTATACATCGCCATCGAGCGGCGCTAATCTTTTCTCCCGACACGACGTTCGGCTCGTTCGATAACTCGCGCTCTTTGACTCTATAATTAATTTGAGTCGCGAAGGAGAGCGGCGTTTATCGCGCCTCGTTATTGAAATAAACGCCAGGCGTCGTAATCACGACCGGACGCGAGTTATTGTTTTCCGAGGGAGAAAGACGTCGCATAATAGCGCTATATCGACTCCGCGGGGTCATAAAATCGGAGTTTCATTGGCGGTATCGGATATCGGCCAGCCGTTGCATTTGCATTCGTACTATCCATTATGCACGCGCGTATAACGTACAGGGTGTCGCGAAATCGTCGTCGTTTCTCCCATGTGCCAGCGGAGTTGTGAGAGAGTGAAGTGAGCTTTTCATGACTCTTAAGGGACTCTTAAGTCGACTTTTTAGCCGGAGTCGATGACGAACTCCAAATATATCGATAACACAGAGACGATCGTCATTAACACAATCACACTATTTTTTTCGTATTTCTTGTATATATAGATTTTATGTGAATGTGTGCAACTTTATTTTAGCATATTTAGCGGAGAACTTTAGCGCGCATACTATAAATCTTTGTGCAAACTTTTCTGATATTTTCAAACTTCTAAATTCGGACGTAAAAGCAATATCTTTTGAAATTTGTTTGAGTGGACCAAACTCGTGTTTAATATTTACAAATTTTTTATCAGGAGATTTATTTACTTTAACTGACAGGCTCATTGATACTCGAAACGTCAACTTTAAAATTTTTCATCATTTCTGTCATAGATAAAATAAGATATATATAGATTGTCGCGCGATATATATGCATAAAATACTTGACTACAATGACGAGTGATTTCGAATAGCAGGCACTAATTTGCGGTCCAATTGTATTACGATTAAAGAAAAAAAAATCGCAGTGCTTACGACATATCGCAAAATCACATATCGTTACCCTTATGTTGATGGCAAAGGTCACGCGCGGTCGTCGCGATAGCGGCTGCTCGATTTGTTTTCCTCCGAGAAATCAATCTCTGTGGTAATAATATATAGAGAGTAATGATTACAGTCTAGGGTGTATGCAATATGACTCTTTAAACGTCAGCCCCTCTCTCCCTCTCTCTCTTCCCTCTCTGTCTCTCTTTCGCATTCCCGGCGATCGATCGCAGTTTCCTGTCGCGCTCTCCACCCCGACTATTCGCTCGTTGGTTCGTAGAACACAGATTAACGAAAAACGATATACGTCGATGCCTTCCGGCGAAAAATCCCTTTAAATTAGATCAGCCGAACATTAATCCTCGCTGCGATAGAGCGAGCAAGGAGATTGGCAGTCGCTGATCCCTCATGATTAATTCATTCCGCGAGTGATTAAGCGGAGGACAGTCACCGTCTGTTCTTAGACTGCTCACGTTGGCCTCCTTCGCGTATTACCGTCAAGTCGCATTAATTCAATAATCTTCTCCGACTTAGTTCCCGGATACGCATGAAGTTATCTTGAAGATATCAGAGCGCAGCGAGATCTTCATCGAAATCATTACTGTGCATTAATTATTTTATCATTATCGACACAGCCGAATTTTACGACGTTCACAGGCGGAGAAAACGCGCAAACCGATTTTTGCTCTCGCAGTTAACAAAATAAAATCGAGTACGACCGCGAAGAGTCACTCGATTGCTTCCCCACCTCGCTTCTGCTATTTTTGCAGGCAAGATATACACGTTGTTTCATAATAAAACGCGACTTCCGCTTACCGTCGTCCAATCGTGCGAGTAGCTGCGTCTAGGCCAGACAACGATACCGATGTTAACCGCCAAGAGAAGCCTCCTCATTTCGGTCCTGAAATAATATAGGCCGAACCGCGAAGTCTCTATCGCTCGTTCTCTCTCTCTCTCTCTCTCCCCTCCCCCTCCCCTCTCTCTCTTTCTCTCTATCCATCCCTTTTCTTCCGGCGCGTTGAAACAATATTTTCACATAGGCGTCTGTCCGCCGCGTCGTAACCCAGAAAATCCGGGGGTTATAATATCGCTGTTTTTTTCGACCGGCCGTCTCATCGCTCCGGAACGCCCCGACGTGCCTCGGTCACCGACATCTCGTCGTCGGATCGATCTGTGGGAGGTAAACGCGCCAAATCTCTCGTGTTCTGAACGGAGAGCACGAAACGGCTTAGCACAACTGGACGCCAGACTAGTGAGTGTTTCGCGCGAAATGCTCGCTGAACTTCGCGATATGCTCGCTGAACTTCGCGATATGCACGTAAGTTCTAGCGAAAAATTAGAATCTGCGCATATCAAACGCGCGAGCGCTCACGCTTTCGCGACAAAAATTCATGCTTTCGCAACAAAGCTTCACGCTGCGTGCAATTGCGTTCATAATTGCGAAACTCAGCCGTCGCGCGCCGCCCACGTGACGCGCCGCGTTTATTTGGACACTGATAATTTCGACTATCTAGGATAGTTTTCGTGTGCTCGACGAGGCGAAGGAAAATAAAGCGTGACGAGCAGCCGCGCGAGCGATATTTTATCGCGTGCCGCGATAGTCGTGCGTGGTAACCCGAATGAGGGTGGCGACAGTTGAACGCTGTAAACCCCTTCGTGCGCTTGATATGTATCTCGCTCATACTTTCTTCTTACTTCCAAAGCGCGTGTGCTCCTTCGGTGACGCATGGACGACACAAGGCGTCGCGAGAATTGTAGAAGGATAGGGAAAAATTTTACAGTGAAAATCGCAAGAAAATTTTCTAATCTTGGATCATACGGGGGAAATATAACCTAAATTACAAAATTTGTTAAAAAATTTTATGCAGTTTGACTTTACTAAAAAATTATTATAATTGAATATTTTTTATCGTATTGTTTTTTAGATATATATATTTAGATAGATATAGTTTTAGATATATATATTTAGATAGATATAGTTATTTTTAGATATATATATCGTTAGAAATCATCAAATTTTCTAGTTCTGTATAGTATAATCTACAATATGATAATATAATCTAGTCCTCACACAAAACATTGTGAAATAAAACTGATTCCACTTTAAGAAAGCACGTCCCGAGGTTTGACTGCCAAGTTACTCGCGCGCTTTTGTCGTGCATAAATTTCTGCATACATCATTTTCCTCAGTTGATCATAAAAGATGACAGATAAAACACTGCCAATTCGACTGAAGCCAAAGCATGTAATAATCCGGTGAATGACGCGCGAGTCGTACCTACGAAAGTCTGCATTTGCGCTGCGATGAGCAAGAAAGCGCGCGTTTGCCAAAATACATCTCAAGCTGCACGCTGCACTTATTACGCTTATTAAGACTTACTTCGTGTGCAGTCGGGCGACTAGCGATATAAATCGCTCGTATGTCGCCTCGCCCGCCGTTGCCTCACGGGGGGCAGGATGGCACCGCGCGGCCGCATTATCGGGATGGATTTACTGCGCCGTTCCGCGATTCGCGGATCCATAACGAATCTGTTAGCGGTGCGGTACGCGCCCTGTTACGTGGCTGTGGCGCCCACACACGGCGCGTACCGTTTTAGCGTGGCGCGGCTGCCTTTTTTCGCAAATAAATTCCGAAAGCCAACGCGGCATTGTACGTCGGCGAAGCGGGCTCTCACGCGACTCTATCGTTTTAGCGAGCTTTCGGCTGAGCTAATTACAGCACGAGCGCGTAACGTCAAAGCGCGCTACGTGCGCTCAATAGCGAGCGCGTGTTTGCGGGGTACGCGCGATAAAAACGATCCTACGCGAGTAACATCGATGGCCTTCGATCGATTGCGAAAACACATCCTGCTGCCAAGGCTGTCTACCAGCGAGATCGCGTTTGTGATTCGTAATTAGTTTCTCGGTTAACCGTGTCCCTCGACGATGTTTCATTTGCCGTTAATTAACCCCGAGTCTGCCTTTGAATATTTAATTTTCGCGAGCGCAGGCTGCGATGTCGTACGGCCGATCTTTATTCATGAAATTGAAAATATTACGTCGCCGGGTAATTTTGTCATTTTAATTACGCATTATGCAACGCGAAATTACGCGGATGTCGCTATTTGCTATTAACATTTGCTACATTTTTCTTCTTGCAGAGCTCTACGCTCAAAGAAAAATACATGGCGATGTATGTGGCGACCACATTGGTGATAAATACGAGTTTTCTGTGTAAAATTTATAACCATCGCCTTTTAATTGTAGCAACTGCAAAATAGTTTCTGAGCTATAATATACATTGTGATTCTATATACAAAAGCTCATATAATCGTCGCATATATGCAGTTACTACCAGCGCATGTATTTTTCTCCGAATACACTCGCGCATTAATCATCTTGAAATCCCGATAGCGATCTGGCCGCGGTCTATTGTCTCGATATCGGTACTGTTTGGATCAATATTACATCCCGATCGAGTAGCCGCGACGTCCATTCAATTTCTCATGCGATGAGCACATAACAACGGCGCCACATGAGAAACGGCAGCGTGTTGATATTCAATTCGTCTCACCGCCGCTTGTCCATATTCACGCCCGAGAGACACTCCATTTCATACGCGATCAATCGATCGTTCCACATCCCTCGATTCTCGGGGATACACACTGTACCACAGGCCCTAATCGATACTCCTCTCCCCCGTCCTCTCCCGCCCGGGCGAGCGGCGGTAAGAGGATGGCGAGAAGAAGGACAGAGCGGGTGCAGGACGCAGGGTGTACGCGATATTAAGGGGTTGCCCCCGATGTGTGCGCGCACGTGTTTAGACCAACGCTTTCGCCGGCTCCGCGACTTTGCCGGAGGAGAGACACGGAAGCAGACTCACATCCGTTTCCGTTCGTTTATAGAGACGTTCACGGCCGGCGCGGCGTAATGTCGCGGCCGGTCGGCGCCGTGAACGGATTGGGAGGCGAATTTGCGGCGACCCTTTCCTCTCGCTTGTCCGCCTCGTCGAAAGAGCGTTCGGGAACGCGGACGTAGTAGTTGCTGCGTTCAGACGGCACGACGATTACGGAAATATCGATACAATCACATGTCAGACGACCGACCGACGCCGCGACACAACATAACGCCTCTAAACGCCTCTTAACGCCTCTAAAGGTCGATTGTTCCAACTTCTTGGTAAGCTAACTGATAATTAAATTATATGTTTATATTCGCTTTTTCAGAGACAGAGACACATGATTTAATTGTTAAGTAGCTTACCAAGAGGTTGAAACAATCGGTCCTAAATGACAAAAAACGCACAAAATGGTATTTGCAGATTCTGAAGAAAACCTCTCTCAGTGGAGTTAGTAAATTAAAAAAGATTCAGAAGAGGTTGTGATGTAGACTTTAAAGTATCAAAATAGAATATTGAAGCCGAAAGTCGATGTCGACAGTCGATGCTCGTCGTATACATTTTCTATGATTACAGGTGTTATAATCACCAGGTGTCTACGATCAAAGAGCGAGCTGCGTTTGAGAGGCGAGCCCATTACGATCGTATTCACATGGGAACACTTTGATCAGGCTCACTGTTCCCCGTCGTCGTAGTCCATCCCGTCTTGTCTTTGGTGCTCTCCGAGACATCGACTGCGACTCAGACGGCGACTTGGCTTCGAGAGTCGACAACTGGCCGGGATTAATTCAGCCCTTCGAACACCTACGTAGAAATGGAAGACGGTAATCCGACACTCGGTTGTCAGCTCGGGGCAGGAAACGAGCGGCGGACGATGAGGAGAAGGAGAAGACGAGAGAGCGGCCAGTGACGCTAGCGATATACGCGCTCCGCACGGCCCATAATCGCGCGCTCTTCCCCCATGAATGCGCGAACACTCGTCGATAATGTTTTATATTGTCAGTGCATCTTATCATCGCGCGCATCGCAAAGAAACGCGCTCGTTATCCGTTCGGTGTGTCAGTTTTACGACGATTCTAATGATCGACGCAATCCAAGTAGAAAGAGCAACTTCTTCCTAACTGGAATTTTGGTTACTGGCCAGCTAAAGTATTATATTTTATCATTTAATATAAAAATAACGTGAAACTCGTGTTTTTTTCAAGAAGTAAGCATTTCATACGCAAATTAATTCAATTTAATATAAAAATAACGTGAAACTCGTGTTTTTTTCAAGAAGTAGCTTTTTCATACGCAAATTAACTTATTATTGAAATGCTTGTAGTTTTAATTACTGTTTTCTTATCTAGAGAATAACGAAAAAACATTGCGCACGTCTGTATAGTCAGTATTTTCCGAGTTTTTACTAGACAGAAAAACTGCCCAGCATTTACTTAGCATTTTTTATTGCCTAGTTTCTGGCCAGTATTTTTCTGCGCAGTATTTCTGGGTAATTACTGCCTAATAAATCCTAGCTAGTAAAAACTGACTAGTTTCTAGTGATCAGTTTTTCCTGGAAACTGTTTTAATTAAGAACGTCTGTTATCATTGCGCAGCTCTCACTCGCTTTCAATCTTTCGCGCCGCGCGTTTTATCTCGGTCTTCGTGGTCGCGCGCGAATCGTGGAACGGTGAGAAATCGAGCAACGCGTCGCGTTTCGAATCAACGACGGAAGTCCTGAGCCGGTACCGCGCGCAATCGGTGCGCAATGATTGCACTCGATTTGATCCGATTTCGAGCGGCGACAAGGATGACGAAGACGACGAACGCGTGACGGTGGTCAGCGCGGGCGACGGCGGGAAAGGACGGGCAGTTGCATTTGCAAGCTCCATAAACGATTAATACGCTCGCTCGTCACGTCCCACGTGTCGGGTGACACGGCGTGCTCGAACACGCGCATTCCCCGCGCGAGGAACGAGCGACCGGCCGGCCGCACTCTCTCTCCTCAACGGGAGAGGTCCTTCCCCTCCGAAGCCACGACTTTGAAGGAGCATGTTCCCGTGCGAACGTAACGACAGTGGTGGGCTCATTCCTGACCATGACATACTCGTCGTTTATGAGCACCTAACAATTATCACACGTACGATCGCTACTTATTAAAGATATGGCCGGGTGTGTCGACTTATAATGATCCTTAACACGCCAGTCTCCTTACATCACCCGATATGTCACTGCGCGACAAAGACGCGAACAGCAACTTCGTCGAGTGTCACGACGGCCGAATGGAAGCAATAACATTGATAAAACGAAGACGTATGTCAGAGCGCCACCGGCTTCCTTTATTTATAGCTGGTATTCGCATTTTTAGCGCGAAGCGCGTCCGTTATTATCAGTCTTTGATAATTCATCCGAAGTGCTTTAATGAGGAGAGTTTTTAATATCTCCAACTACAATAATGTCTCTCAACGGCGTTCGGCGCGCGATAATAGTTCGCGTTCGCGTATGACCAATTAAGATCCTTAGGTTGTCGATAATTCGAAAATAGCAGATGTGCGACGTGACGCTTTCTCGTTCTTCTTGTCTTCCCGTCAGCTCACCTCTTGAGCGGAGAATCACACTCGGGAAATGTGAGGGAGGACAAGAACAGCGGGAGATCTGTAAGGAATCCGTTTTATTTACTGTAACAACATCGTTAGCGCCTACAATTTCATACATCCTCGTTCGTAAATCGCGTAGATCCCCGAGCTTCGGGGCGAATCCGATCGATCCCGAAATAGACATGCCGAAAGCAACGTAACGAGGATGCAGAAGGTTGCTGGACGGCACCAACGAGGGGAAATTGTGGTACGTCATTAACACCAATTGTGGTTTCATCAATTTTCATCCGCGCAGCTTTTGGGACCGGACTAACGGACGGCAAAAGGTGTCGAGAGTGATGCTCGCAAAGCGACAATTTTTGGCCAGCTGCGTTCACGCGTTCGACTACGCAGATCAAGGGCAAACGGCGCGACTGCGTTACATGAGCGGACACGGGGTACGGTCAATAATTATATTCAGCTAGCTTCGCGCGCTTCAGAACGTTAGCCCTATCTCGAGTGGCTCCAAGGTATCGCTTCCGTCGCAATATCGTGTCGAGTACGAGCGCAACAGCACGCGCAGAATCCGCCTCTGTTGCACGATGCTTGTACAAAATCGATAATACATTCACTGGCAGCCGGCACTAATAAATTTACATTAGCACCTGTGTTAATTAACTGTAACCAGCATTAATTTACTAACGATAACTAAACAATGCTCTCGGATGAATATCTCATGGAAGGCGTGTTACATCGAGATATAATCAATTGATCAGGGGTGGATGCCACGAGGATGCTTGTGAATAGCCGAGCGTTATAACAGAGCCAACGCTTGGCAACGTCAGTTTTTGACAAGTCTCTCTTGAAAAATTCGCCATCCAATCGTGAGCAATTAACGACACTCGCGCAATATGATTCGCAATGTTTCACAATGATTATCTGTTTCATGGCGATATCAGGCAAAACGATCTGTCTGAATGAGGTAAACGCCATCACAGTCGAAGGCTTTTCCACGAAGCAATAAACCGAGAAATAAGTACTCGTATACCCATACAATCGAAACATATAACGAGAACGCAAACAGCTTACAAAAATTAAATTACAATTCATTCTTACGCTATAACAAACGGCGTATTATATCGCTTACAATAAGATTTCGTGTTCTCCCCGATTCATTCGAATCAATATCGAAGTCGGGCTTTTGTGATAGTCGATTCATCTTCAACACAAGAGCACAGAATTAAACGATGACTTCGAGAAACGATCGATACCTCATCGTATACGGGACAATTCAAGCTTCCCAACGCATTTTATTTGATGTCGCTATGACCTTTTTAAGCGGCCTTGTCGACGAGCGGTGAATCTCTCTGATGAGACCGCGACAATGTTGCGTACCACTACCTTTCCCGAGTCGAAATTTTAGCCGTACTTCTCACTTAAAACTTTCTAATACCTGTATATTTTGAAGGATCAGTGTATGTGTAACACATAGAAATTGAAATCCTTTTAACGCCTCTAAAAGCCGATTGTTCCAACTTTTTGGTAAGCTACCTGATAGTTAAATCATATGTTTATTTTCGTTTTGAGACAAAAGACATTGTGATATAGACTTTAAAGTATCAAAATAGGCGTTAAATAGAATATTGAGGCGGAAGTAGGATCAAAATTCCGACTCGGATACGCATCGACATGCGGAGACAGCCGAGGTGTAAAATCAACTTTGAACAACCTTATTTCGGAGAATTGACGTATACGAAAGTGAGAAAGATTACTTTTATTTATTTTATCTGACTTTGTAATTCAAATCTTCAACACAATGCCGATTATGTATCAGCATCGCGGCGGTATAAAAAATCCAGCATCTGATTATGATGAGACAGAGTTGATCGTAAGATCTCGTATGAGCGAATAGATTCCGCGTGCGCGATCAAAAATCGTGTAAATTAGCGAATTTATCGCTGGTAAAATCAACTTTAACGCTAATTAACACACGCGTCGGCGAAGTTTTCGAGTCACTCGGTCGCATCGTAATATTCCGCCAGTTAGCCCCGACGATAAACAACAAACTACCTTCGCGGTCCTCCCCATATCTTTCGCACGTTGCCGCGTTACTCGCGGCGTCAAAGACGGCGGTAATTGCGTCTCCTGCGCAATATGCGCTACTTATGTATCTCTTAATTAATTCGTGCCACGACCCGCCCCGGAATTATTTCCACATCGCCAAACGCGCACTCTCGTCGGCCCTTCGCCGTGACGTTACCTCGCCCCGCTCTCTTCGTCGTCGTCGCCGACGTTGCGTCGTCCTTGTTCCTCGTGCGACGCTAATAATCGCGACGTCTCACCACGACGACGACGACGACGACAACAACGACGGAGTTTAAGCAAGACTTCCCGCCGAAGGGAGCTTATCTAAGTCAGACTCTTGTCGTAAATCAGGCAATATCGAACACCTAGAATGACTAATTAACGGCGCCGATGAGCCTGCACATTAACCTTGACGTGCCGGCACCACCGGCGAGAGTATCGACGATTATAATAAACGATCCTTATCCTCGCGTGAGAGTCATTCGCGCGTATACTTATCGGATCGATCGTTTCTCTTTATTACCCCGCCTCGAAAGCGGCGGCAAGGATGAAATATGGCTATTTGTGTGAACGGTCCGCGGAAACGCGCGAGTTAACGTAGACAATCTGCTATTTAGTGCGCGTCGGCGACGCGAGAGCGTACGTCTGATACGATATCGTGTGATTTATTCAAACGGCTTCAGGTCTTCGTGAAACATTGCCGTCGAGAACGAATATCGTCGCGTACGATACATCCCATTTTGTCGTTTTTAGAATTGCGTCAGTTGTCGCGTTGCGACAAGCCAAGTCGCAATGCAATTTATCGTATAAACAAGCTCTCAATAAGGAAAATAAACAACACGTTGAAACAACAAATATCATCTCTCGAAGATTACGCACTTATTACACAGATTACGCACTTATTACACAGATTACGTCTTTGGCACTAGTGGACAATTCGTTGCCTTATGTTTACGTTCATTTGGACAAATCACATCCACAACATTTGCGGAGCTAGTTTTGACTGAATGGAAAGTGAACACGACGATAATAAGGCAGTTGTCTCGTGAAGTAAATTTCTTAGAAATTCGTTTCACTTAGACTCTGTATGTCAACTCAAATATTATTCAAGTTTATAAAACATTATTTAGGCTCATCGGTGTCGTTAATTAGTCATTCTATGTATTCGATATTGCCTGATTTACGACAACCCGTCTGTTATGTATGAAATTGTACGCAATTTTTTTATCATATTTCAAAGAAGTACAGATATTAATTTTTACGTTTTCTAATTTGATAGTAAATTAAAAGTTTTCATATTTGATAAAACAAATCGTAAATTCTAATCGGGTTCGCGATGGGCACTATCAGCAATTGCAGGAACAGCTTGATGGAAAAATTAGTGTTTTAAAAATAACATCACAAAATGCAAGAAGTTAATAAAAATTAAAATTTTGCAATGCCAATGTTCTGTCAAAAACTTTCAGAACTTTCAGTTCTTAGTAAAATCCCGTTGATTTCGCTTAAATATCTCAATCAGAAGAAATTCGTCGACTGTACAGGGAAAAAGTGAGTTTTAGAGATGTGCAAACTATTCGATTATGTCAATTAAAAATTCTTTCAACGATTCGATTTGATTCAAATTCGAAATTAAAATCTGAGATTCGATTCGATTCGACATAAAAAATCTTTAATTCGCACATTTCTAGTGAGTTTTTTCATTTTATAAGAAATCTTTTTCATTATTATTCGAAAATAGCGCAAATCCATTTGTAGATTTTGTTGAATTACTATTGCATAGCTATCTCATGGCTAATTCTCTATATTTCTAGAAAAGTGTTCAAAAATATCGATTTTCAACAAAGTTCAAAGGTCTGACAGACCCAGATTATACGGTATATCATAAAAATATAATGCGGAAAGTTAACTGCTTGTGTAATTGGGCAAAGATCGAAAGCTAATCAAATATTAGTATAATACATTTTTAAATACATGCTGTTATTCATATCTCATCCAAAATTATACGGCTCCATCTTTTTATCACGTAATTGAACTTTTCAGTAGTACTATCGCGAAACGACTACTTTAATATATCATAAGACACATCTATTCAAACCAAGCGCGTGTTCTCCGTGTACGTAATATTTCCCTGTACGTTACTCGCAACGAAAGACATCCGACGTGAGACGTGAAAGTCCACGGAATCACATTAAAAGTCCAAGTCTCGCGCGTCACGTTGAAACAATAAGAATTCTCATTGTGTCCCACGGTCGATAACGGCTGCAGCTAACCGCGTCGAGGACGGCCGCGTACGGTGCAACTCTTGCGAGGCGTCGCGCTAATTTTATCTCGTTATGCTTGGTGAAGCGAGTAACACGTGGCGATATAAGTGTCCCTTGAAAATAATCAACGTATTGTAGCGACCGTCCAAACACGAGCGGTCTTGTTGTAACGTTACTTCCGTCACGCTCTTATTTTATTTCGTATACTCGACACGTCGCATCGGTGTACGCCGAAGAAGAAACCCTCAGTGATTCCTCCTTCGATGATCTGTCCCCAATGAACTTGACGTCGTTAGACAGGAAACATCAATATCACAAGTGACGATACGTGTACATACTCGACGTTGCTCCGCTTGTCTTCGTGAATTCCTCGAGCCACGTTGTATTTCTTCATAGAGTACTTCGCACTACATCTTACTGAATCTGGTTATATCTCCAAGTACGCTGACGGTGTCCGGTCGAGCTCGCCCGAGTAGCTTGCGCGAGGCTCCAGCTACCATCAGTCTTGAGAACAATCCGACACATTCTTCACGCTCATCAGTTGCTCACAGATCGACTGCCGCTGCCAGTGGAGTCCTGCCTGACGACACCAACCCTTATCGGCAATATAGCTCCGTGAGCGATGCCGTAGTGAGCGTACGCGTCTTTGCCGTAGCTCAAGGTCGCCTCTTCCTCATTGAACCACTGACCGAGTTTGTTCGCGTTCATCAACGGGGTGGTGGTCGCCGGAGACATACCGCCGCCGCTCGCGATACCCTGCAGGGTATTGAAACTTTGCATCACCAGATGCGAGGCGGTCGACACGACGACCGTGTTCGCTGACGTCGCGATCTGTACAGCGGCTGTCGGCGGTGAGTCCTCGACTCGTGCAGTAAGAGCGCTATTATTCGAAGGAGGCTGCGTCTCCATCGGACTCATCATCGGCGCGGCAACGCCTCGAGGCTGCAAAATCGACCTCGCCGTTCGCGAGCTTGGTGCAGCAACAGCAAGATTGTCCGACCGTCTAGTGGACGGATGCGGCGACGCGACGGGCGTCTTCGTCGGTGCCGCTCGAGGTGGCAACGGCGGCGACTCATCCGTTTCCACGGACCGTAGGACCGTCGCTGACTGTGTTCGCCGTCTCGATTCTGTTCGGTTCTCGGCGGATCGCGTGGTCGTTGCGTCTGAAAACGGCGCGGTGTGAGCGCGATTCTTCCGAGCCGGGATCTGTGGACTCGTCGGCAAGGCTCTGCCGACGGTGTTGTTTCCCGACGAGTTCGTCGTGATCTTCGGCGGCGACTGCTTGCTCGGGAAGGTAGCTGACGCTGTGACAGGGGACTTATCACCCTGAGGGTTTATGGCGTTATTCTTCGTAGAACTCTTGACGTTTCGACCGTTGGTGCTCGACGAAGGCAACTGGATATTACTCGCAAATAGATGACTTGTCATCGACGGCGCGTCGGAGGGTGCATTCAGTGATGTAGGTGTGCGATCGTGAGTCTGATCGTTGCCGTTGCTCGCGGCAGTGGCCAAACTCGGATCGCCGTTCGGGAAACTGGCGAACCGTGCGATCGTTTCACGTTCTTCAGCTACTTGAGGAGAGAAGGGTATCTTCCTTTCGACCTGCTGTGTGGGTACTCTGCTTTTCGACGGACTCGAGACGACTCTGCCAGCCCTTCTCTTCCGAAAGTCGTTCGTTCCTGCGCTCGGACGTCTTTCCGGAAAATGTCTACCTCTCATGGGCACGGGCTCGGCCTCTTCGCTCTCGTTTCCGTCGATGTCGCGGTCTTCTTCCTCATAGACCTCTGAGTCCTCGTACATATCCGACTCGTCCTCCTCGTTCTCTTCGACGATCGCGCTGGACTGTATCCATTCCCTGATGCGGTCCTTCTTTTTCGACCGGTCCACCGTCGTCTCAATACCGTACGTGGTGAGCGTGTGGAGGAGCTGATTCTTCTCCTCTAAGGAACTGTGGAAGCTGTACATGGAGGGACAGAGCTCGTCGCGTTCGTCGACACCGCCTGCGGATACAAAAAGGAACGTCACTGAGAAATTGCGGCATGTACCGTATCGTATCGCCGGCAATATCGTACGATACACAGCCAACCAACCCACCATTCAACGCTTTCTCGACTCCGAGTTTCGCCAGCCATCTGTCCTCTAAATATTTATTCACCTCGAATACGCTAACAGGTCGCTTGTCAGCCTTCGGGTCTAGCAGCCTCTTGAACATTCTTTGAAAAAGGTAAAAAAGAAAAGAAAGAGAGAGAACAACATAATACATTCTTCTATCTATATATTTTGGTCTCTCAAGGATTGTTCTCTTTATCGAGATAGGAAACCAGTACAAATTCTAGTCGCTGTGAAGAATATCGAACATTTCGATTACCTTTTCTTCGATAAGAAATAATGTGAACTACGCGAAGCTAGTACGATGCTAATTAGATGTAATAATTTGCAAAAAAAAAATTGCAAATTTTTAAAATAAATTTGCATAAAATTTTTTGAATGCAAGGAAACGAGCAACAGTCAGCGGTATCGAATTAGACGTATTTGGAATGCACGCTGACGCGGCGCTTAATTCGCAACCTCGCTTCCAAGTGGATACCCACCTCTGCGCTCGTGAGCTGATCAGCTGAAATAATTTCGGTTTCTTGGCGATGTTCAGCGTCGCGTTGTGCCAGTTTTGATATCTGGTGTACCGCGGGTCGTCCGGCGCCGCCTTCTGCCATGGCAGGCAGCCGGTTAAGCAGACAAATAGGACAATGCCGAATTGCCAGACGTCGTGCGTCGTGCGAGCTCTGAAAGTCGTCGTTAGAATGTACACCTCTAGTGACCGTGGCCGATCTGCACGTAGATATCATTCATTACAACGCACGAGAGATCCATTGCGCTCGAGTTTGACAACCGACCAAAATCTCACTTATGCCTACTGACTATTGAAAAAGGGAGGCTACAATAACACACGAAGATAGGTAAAAATGAGTAAAATCGTGAGTAAAATCGAATGCTCATTTAATCTTATAAGATATAGAGTTATGGATGAAACAACGAGTTGTTTATATCGGCTTCAGACAAGTCATCGCGAACTCTTAGAGTGTTATCAGTTTTCAACACAGATTACAGTGTAGTCTTCGAGGATATGTTTGTTCCTTAAAGCAGACACTCTTTAAAAAGAAATAGAAAAGGATTGATTTTACTTTGCTTCTTCCTACTCTTCGATCTTCCATCTCTCCCAACGCCCAGTCGCGAGGCAACGCGATCTCGGCCGCAGTGCAATGCGTTAGACTGTACTTAATGGTCAATCACAGCGTATAATTACTTGTACGTCTCGTCAGTGTCGATCTGCAGTACCTCGGGCGGCGAGTACGGCAGCCACTCGTTGTGTCTTCGCACCACGGTATTGACCCGCCTGGTCTCGCCGAAGTCGCAGAGCTTAATCCGTGAGAAGTCGCTTCGGAATACGAGTATATTGTCGAGCTTGATGTCCCGATGCACCAGCTCACGGCTGTGTATGTGCTGCACCGCTGCGGCGAGTTGCCTGGCGACCCTCTTCGCGTGGAGCTCGCCCAACCCCGTCTCTGTCACGTTCGACGTGAGATCGCCTGGAAATTGAGGGTAACGCGAACGACTAAAGCACACACCCGAGCGATAATATGAATACTACGAGCGTTTCCACGAGCGCCTCGCGACGAACACCGAGCAAGAGGCCGTCTCCGAGTAGTCCGTAAATTATCTCGAGTGATTTGGTGACTCGAGTCACTCTATTGAGCGTATTAATTGCACCTTAAATTTTACGAATCAGAAAAGAAGCCCAGAAGAAGCGACCAGCACGACCTCGTAAAAATTCTCTCACCGAGCGGGGCGTACTCCTGACTAAAAACGTAGAAGCCGGCCGTCTCGAAAGCCACATCATAAGTGGTTATGATGTTTCTGTGAGCCGCCAGATGTAAGCCATAGTGGAACTCCCGAAAGAAATCCGAGATGCCGGTGTAAGCCTTCGGTAGCGCCTTCAGCACCATCTCGGTCTGCGTGCTGCGGTGCTCGGTCAACAGGATCTTACCGAACCATCCTTCGCCGACGATCTGCAGAATGTCGAACTCGTCGATCAAGTTTACCTGTTCCAGAAAACCGTTAGTTTTCCACGCGGTGCTGTACATAATGTCACGTTGTGATCGACGGAATCGTGGTCACTGTCACGTCGAACGACGAATCGCCGATAATAAAGTTCCTCGACGTTACGCCTCGCTCTCCCGGATCGCGACAATATTTGAGAGCACAGGAGAATGTCTCGAGGTAGTAACTTCGGAACGCGCAAGCTCTCGGAGGCGAGGAATCTCTCGCGAACGCACTTTGTCGCGAGCGAGGCGCGGCTTTGAAGTGAAACTCACGTGCCACGACGCGTTATCCGCTGCACGCCGAATACAACGCGACGCCACCCGATGCCGATCTCCACGCAACGTCTATTTTTACACGGACGCACGCTTCGTACGCGTTTTGATCCCGATGTGCGAGACGCATGGCAACGGATTCCCCCCAACATAGTCCCATTTCTCGTTGGAGAACGCGGACTCCTTTAACACGGTAGATGAACTGACAAAGAATCGCAAGTCCTCGCTTGTAACATTCAATTAACAAGAAGCGCGTGAATTTCCGCGTCGTTCTCGCGAAATACGAAGAGCTAGAAGTACGCAACTTGAGTGAAATTTCTTTTCTGATTGATATTCCATGAGATGGGGAACTTCTAATCAGTCTAATGGCACAAACAAAATATCGCAAGGGACAGTATAATTAGTTATTGTACAGAGGTATCTCCTATGACAAATTGAACATACTAAGAAAGTATATCCTTGGGTCCAATTTCAGCAAAAAACTTTCTATAAACATAGATCAAATTTACACGTACCTACAAGTAAGATACAAGTGTTCAAATCTAAGAATTAAGTTATAATTTTATTTAAGAAAAGCTTGATTTACGAAGAGTAAGTAGACACCAGGAATGCGTTAATAAGCATATTAAAGACGCATATTGGCAGATAAAAACGATCGCGAGGTTCTTCGTGCGGCTATTTGGTTCATTTTAGATCGCAGTGCATAATGTATCATAACTGAAGGATGTCAATTTGGACAATTTGTGATTTTTATTTTTGTTCAATAAAAAGTCAAATTAAATAAAAAATAAATAAAATAAATATATAATTAAATTAATTGATTAATATATATATATATTAAATAAATTTTAATAAAATTGTAATTCAATTCTAAGTTTTAAACGCCCCTCTATTTCCAGATAACTTTTGCGAATTTGATTCGTGTTTTTAAGTTTTATCTGTTTAAGTTTTCTTCAAATTAAAAAACCCTGTATTACAATAAACTGATCTGCTCAATTATGTGTTCGCTGATATTACTTGGAGCGAATTAAGCAGCGAAGCTCAGCAAGCCTGATTCCGTGTTAAAGACAAAGTGCATTACGAAGCGATCCGTACGCGAGCGGCGACAAGTCATGGTCGCGAACGCAGTCGCCACAGACCCACCGTTAGGGAAACATTGGTGCACTGCCAGGCGGGAGAATGGCCGTTAGTCGAGCGAGTATAATGAAATGTTGCCTCGTTCGCGAATACTATTTCGGGCTCTCAATGTCTCGAAGCTGGAAAACGAGACGGCTGCCGGCGGCCGTGTCGGTTGTTTAGCTTCATTCGCGAGGAGCGAAGCGCCAGGAGACCTCGGGGAAATCGCCGCACGCACAAAGGAAAATCCGATTGCGGCGGCGGAGGTGGCGGCAGCAGCCGTAGTGATGGCGGGAAAGAAAGCTCATTACCTTCTCGAGCTCGAACTCCCGTATCCTATGAATGGATCCGCCGATCGCCTTCTTCATCCCGCTCATCTCGATGATCCGCGACGCTTTTCCTTTTTACCGCACTCGAGTGTGAGCCGAGAATAAGGTATCACGATTCGATCAATCGCCGTTGCCGGATGGTTATTATATCCCGTCGCTGCGCGCGATTACGAATTTCGCAACATCATCGGTCATCGTGCCGAGGAAAGCGCAAAGAAGCATCCTATTCTTTCCCAGCGCAAGCAGACACGTCCGGGCTCTGCAAAACGTTTTAAACGGGGTGAAAAGCGTCGACGTGCTGGAGGAAGCGTCTTGAGGTACACACACACGCGGCTTTTTGCGAAATCGTTGGATTCACAAGAGTTCCGCGCGCGTGACGTATCCGTGACGTCGCATGAATTAGACGGCACACGTGTGCGATGAACAAGATGAACTGGATTGTGATAACGCTCGAATGAAAAGTGAAACGGCGATCGAAATAAGTCCAGACAGTTACTCTTGTCACAGGACGGCGATGTGACAAAATAATGTTCCGCTCGCGATGAGAAGTCGTTAACGCGCGGAATGAAACTGCAATTTCGCGCGCGGGGAGCGTGCACGCAGCCGGACGCCGGCTAGTATTTTTGTGCCGCATACAATTGTTGCGCAAGACTCTGGGCAAGAGGAAAAGAGAGACACCGCGAATCTTAGCAGGAACACACGACGTATAAATATTATTTTGGCAAACCATCGACAATAGATACAAGATGACAGTTTCCGTAACGTCTCTAGCAATTGGAAAGCGGACACGTGTGATAGCGCGAGCTGTTGATGCAGAGACGAACGCATCGCAACATTTGAGAATAACGGTTTGTTAAAAAATATATTACTTGTTAAAAAGCGAAGTGATTTCCTTTGCTTTTTTCTTCGCGCGAGGAGAGCTGTCCGAAGAAACGGTGCTGTGGAAGCGCGTGTCTTTCTTGACCTCCTCGTGATGATATATTTCTGACAATTACGGTGCAAAATTCGAAACGATGAGTGCTTGATCTCTTTAAAAATGCATCAAGACGTAAGGTTCTTTAGATCAGACAAGTTTAATCAGATTTGTTTTATTCAATTTCACGATTCTCGGGATACTCGATGGTTAAGAGTCCAAGAAAACCGTGCGAAGTTCGTTGGACGGTAAATACTAAAATATAATTATCTATAAAGAGATCGAGCGCAACGAACCACGTTAAGTGCATTTCACTCGATCTCAACCGTATCGGAGCGGACACGAACTTACAGTTGATAGAGCTCGCGGGACGAATCGGCGCGTCGTTATTTATGTAAGTCCCGTTCTGTTGCTCGCGATTCGGAAGCAGAAGCGAGCGAGCGAGCGAGCCAGCACTGCGTGTGATTGCCGTTCATGCAATTTCGTGGATCGCGTGTTTCCACGTTCGTCTCGTGGCGAACTCGGACACACCGTGATCTGCAAGGGCACCACGCACGAGACACCACGCACGAGAATCCACCAAGGAGAAGACGAAACGGGACGCACACGTTGCTCCGCCACGGGGAGGCGAATGACACTCGCGAGGACAACCGTCGTCGATAAACGTCGGCGAGACGCACGGATCTGGAGAATCCCCCCGATAACTCTCCACTCTGAGCATGAGCCGCAAACACGCACACCCTCTCGTGATCCTGCGACACGGGTCTGCCGTGCTCGGTGCACTGTTTGCTCTGTCTGCAGTATTTATAAAACACGAACCGGAAAGCGCGGCTGGCGAGCTGATCTTGGCGGCTTGCCGGCTTGCCCGCGCACCGACTCTTCCTGAAGACGCGCACCGCGTCACCATCGTCGCGGTGAACCTAAACCTGAACTCTGCAGCAGTGACAAATCTGGATCCGCGATCATTCCGTAAGTTTGAATCGCGCGAGTCGCGACTCGAAGTTTCTCCACCATTTCTAATCGCACCGCGATTGTACATGCGAAAGACGATTTTACGCGAATAAATTCAGAAAAGTTTGTCGAAAAACAGTTAAATTGCTAAAGTTGACGAGACAAACATCGATGAAAAAACAATCTCATTTTGAAGTAACTAAAAATAACGGAAAACAATACCATATATTACAAAGATTAACATATTTACATGCAAATTGCATTTAAAATTACAAATATTTATGGAAAAAAAGAAAATCGCAAAAATATTATGTAAGTAAATAAGCACTACAACGCTACACTCCTCTTGTATTACTTGAAACATACTAGTTTGCGAAACAGTTAAGAAAAGTTCCCCATGACGAAGTTATCATCTCACAAAAGAACTCATTACTTAGTAATTCTCAATCTAAAACATTCTACCATTGGAACTAGCTAAGTTCTAAAAACAGATAAGATACCAGATATACGAAAAAAATTGCAATGCATGAGATTTTTGCACTACAACAATAAGTAATCCCAATGCACACCGTTTTTACGCAAGATCACATCTTCTCGAATAATACATTTCCGAAAGATGACCGCAAGTCAGAGAGGTAAAACGTTACGTCATATAAGTTAGCAGAACAAAGTTAGCAGAATCTATTCTAATTAATGTTATTATTTGTTGTCCATTTGTTGCTAAAAAGTTGTCAAAGAAAAAAATTTGTTGCTGTTAGTTTTTTTTAAAAACGATGTTTTGCTAAAGAAAGATTAGTTAGCGGAACAGTATGTAAATATAACTACGAAATAATAAAAAATCGAATATTACTACAGGAACATGTTTGGAAACTCATGTCTTACTTTTCTACTTCACATTTCATGTTCTGCATATCATAATGCTACATGGCAGAATCAAAGACGTAAATGGAAGAAAAATCGCGAATAGAAGAAAGCAACTTGGTTCCGATTTTCGTTATCGCCATAATATACATCTAAATATAGCAGACTATATGTCTTTAGATAAAATCTTTAGAATTCTCACGTTATTTTACGCTAATTAACCGAGTAATCAATTTCGTTCAACATATTTTTATACATATATTGTAATCCCGATAAGTTCTAAAGATAATGTTGATCGATGACCCACTTGAATGATTATCTTGCACGGACGATTTGATGATCTTCGCCGTATTGTGCACACAACAGTCAGTTATGGTTGCAACAGTCTTCATGAGAAGAACTCCGCTGATATGAACGAGATATCATTGGACTTGCATCAGCCGGATAACAAACATTCACACTATGTTGTCTACGTTCTTGATCAACCGCGCGCGTGCGGAGTGAAAATGTATACAGCTTTATAATCCCGCAGGGAACATTATCTTTTCTCTCGTTTCAGCGAATGAATTTACACATCTGTGTCAGTGGAATCAAGCTACATGTTCTTTTTCCATTTAACAAAAAGATGGACTGATACGAAATATCAGATGTTTAGTATGAAGGAGGAACGACAGCAAATTTTGAAAAGCGCGCAGCGAGATAGGCTTATAAAAGAAGTATATATAATTTTACACACACACACATACATATACACACACACATATATATATATATATATACAATGTATGTATATATATATATATATTATATAATATATTGTATACACATACAATATTATATAAATATTGTATAAAGCATTTATTTGTATGGCAATTAATAATGTACTTGAAATATTTTCACTGTTAATACTGTGGCCTCCTTGCTATCTGTTAATAAAGTATTTAATATATTCATATTTCAAACTACATTGAACCACATATCATCCAGAGCAAAGTTAGATTTAAGGAAAGTACATATAGATACGCGAGGAAATTGGACGGATAATTTTGACAACGAAATTTTTTGCAGCTAAATTCAGACGTGGTTAAATGAAGTAAGTCACTAATCCTAGAGTTTTAGAGTGTATGAAGTTGGCACCCCACTTTTTGAAATTTATAATTTTGAAAGTTGTTCCAGATTGTTCTGACTTTGTACCACATTGTTCCAAAGTGATATTGCTTCATTCGAAACGGTTTTCGAATAAAACAAAAAAAATGATTTCTTGAGCTGGCACCCCACTTTTCGAAAATCGAACATTCTGATACCGCAATAGATTGTTCTAGTTGTTCCAATCATTGTTCCAAAAAGACAAATCCGTAAGTTGAATTATAAGTCCAAAAAATGAAAAAAATGTTTTTGACCTGGCATTCCATTTTTTGAAAATAAAGCATTCCGATACCTATATAGATTGTTCTAGTTGTTCCAAACATTGTTCCAAAAGCACAAATCAATAAGTTTAATTATAAGCCCGAAAAAATAAAAAAAAGTTTTTTGACAAACAGTCTATCGGACCAAGAGTAAACTTATACTATCTCTCTTGTTCCAACCGAGATCATTTTGTTCTGAGTTGATCTAGGCTTAAGAATTATAGTTTTAGAGTATGAGACTCATAGCGTCATCCGTTCTCCGAAAATTCGAAAAAAAATCGATTTGACAGCACCCGACGTCAAGAGAAAATACATGCTTCCTTTCTTATTCCAACTGAGATCTTTTTGTTCTGAGTTGTGCTAGGCTTAAGAATTATAGTTTTAGAGTATGAGACTCATAGCGTCATCCGTTCTCCGAAAATTCGAAAAAAAATCGATTTGACAGCACCCGACGTCAAGAGAAAATACATGCTTCCTTTCTTATTCCAACTGAGATCTTTTTGTTCTGAGTTGTGCTAGGCTTAAGAATTATAGTTTTAGAGTATGAGACTCATAGCGTCATCCGTTCTCCGAAAATTCGAAAAAAAATCGATTTGACAGCACCCGACGTCAAGAGAAAATACATGCTTCCTTTCTTATTCCAACTGAGATCTTTTTGTTCTGAGTTATACTTAAACGACGAAGCAACTTCACTTTATTTTGTCATGACATTTTGTAATTATTTCCGCCAATTTTCCTATAATAAAGATTAATTTTTGTAAGAAATCATCTTTTTCTTGAATTTTTGTCACCTCAGAAATATATTTCAATCATCCTTATTTTCAATCATCCAAATAATTATACTTTTTTAAATCAGTATATAGAACTTTTTTTTTTAAGAAAATAGTTTCATCTAAAAAAACCTGAAAATACTTTAAGTCCTGTAACATTTTTTTGTTAAACTCATCTAAAAAATCTGAAAGAATTCTGGGATACTCTAGAGAGATTATATTTTATGTTCCAATAGTTACTTTAGTCATTTATTAACAATTTTTTGCAATAACAATTTAAATTTGCCGAAATCGACAAAAAATGTAATTTCGTAAAAAAAATTCATAACTTAACAACATATTAAAATTAACAAAAATATTTTCAGGTTTTTTTAGATGAAACTATTTTCTTAAAAAAAAAGTTCCATATACTGATTTAAAAAAGTATAATTATTTGGATGATTGAAAATAAGGGTGATTGAAATATATTTCTGAAGTGACAAAAATTCAAGAAAAAGATGATTTCTTACAAAAATTAATCTTTATCATAGGAAAATTGGCGGAAATAATTACAAAATGTCATGACAAAATAAAGTGAAATTGCTTCGTCGTTTATAAGTATAACTCAGAACAAAAAGATCTCAGTCAGGAACAAGAAAGGAAGCATATGTTTTCTCTTGACGTCGAGTGTTGTCAAATCGATTTTTTTTCGAATTTTCGGAGAACGGATGATGCTACGAGTCTCATACTCTAAAACTATAATTCTTAAGCCTAGCACAACTCAGAACAAAAAGATCTCGGTTGGAACAAGAAAGGAAGCATATGTTTTCTCTTGACGTCGAGTACTGTCAAATCGATATTTTTACGAATTTTCGGAGAACGAATGATCTTATGAGTCTCATACTCTAGAACTATAATTCTTAAGCCTAGAACAACTCAGAACAAAAAGATCTCGGTTGGAACAAGAAAGATAATATAAGTTTACTCTTGGTCCGATAGACTGTTTGTCAAAAAACTTTTTTTTATTTTTTCGGGCTTATAATTAAACTTATTGATTTGTGCTTTTGGAACAATGTTTGGAACAACTAGAACAATCTATTGCGGTATCAGAATGTTCGATTTTCGAAAAGTGGGGTGCCAGCTCAAAAAATCCTTTTTGTTGTTTTATTTGAAAACCGTTTCGAATGAAGCAATATCACTTTGGAACAATGTGGTCAGAACAAATCTGACCACATCTGACATTGTTCTGAAAGTCAGAACAATCTGGAACAACTTTCAAAATTATAAATTTCAAAAAGTGGGGTGCCAACTTCATACACTCAGAGTTTTAGCTTTCGAGCATTACATACACATGAACGCCAATATAAACGCAGTGACTAATACCAAAGAGTCAAACGAGATTACGATTATAGAACCGGAGGTAGTAAACTTTGCAAGTTTTAGCATTATTTTTGCTATATTTGTGTCATCTTCATCATCAAATTTTTCGTCGATCTAACGCTACTATGAGCGATTGGAGATCTCCTCGTTGTGCATAATAAATTGAAATCTACGTCTTTTTCAGTTGAATATTACTACGGTTGAAATCGACAACGCGGTGCTGAAGAGGCCACCTTCATTCGCAGTGGGAAGTTAATTAAAGCTTTCATAGGCAACTGCGCATATATTATAATAACACACCGGATACACCAACGCATTGGCAGAAACCATCAAAAGCGTATTTTCTACAAAGTACGAATATTGGCATTATCGTATTCACATTTATGTAAAATGTATTCGTAAAGGAGGCACGCGTAAAGAAATACGAGGAAAGAATAGTATGGTCATGTCAGCGTTACATAAAATCGATAATTTCAATAATAGATGAGAACTGTATACGCAGAATACTGACATTTTCCTGCAGAGTTTAAATCTTTACGTTATTGTTACTTTATTATAATTGCGCAGAATTACAAATGCTATTACATAGTGGAAGAAAGTGCGATAGTGAATTAGAGCATTGCAGTTTCATTATTTAGCCTGTATAGTTTTCATGTACGGCATTCTTTCAATGTTGTCTCGTTGCGAGTCTCCGACAGCGATTGTCATCGCGAGAGCATTCTTTGGATGTTTGTCAACAAACGAAACGTAGGAAATGTTAATCACGACGAAATCTAAAATCTAGCGAATTATTTATGCTAGACATCTTTATTTTTGTAAGCAATTGTGAGAGTATAGTTCGCTTTTACTTTTCCAGATAAAATCTACACATTGTTCATTTTTGTAGATATTTCATAACTGTTTAGAAAAAAAGTATTATTTATGTCGTGTATTTATTATCAAGTATGTTCTTTCTAGCTAAACTACCTGAACTGGTGCAAATAGTTAGAGTGCATAAATTAAAGTGAAACAAAATATATTTATCTCACTCTAACTTATTGCACAGTGCGTACCAATTCAGTAGCTCTATTTTGTAACTCATTATTGAAGTTAACGACAATTTCGTTATCGTTGCGCAGTTTTTGTATACCGTAGAAAAGCTGCGCAACGATAACGAAACTGTCGTTAATTCCAATAACGAGTTACAGAATAGAGCTACAGCACTGGGATTCTATAACTCGTTATTGGAGTTAACGACAGTTTCGTTATCGTTGCGCAGCTTTTGTATACCGTAGAAAAGCTGCGCAACGATAACGAAACTATCGTTAACTCCAATAACGAGTTACAGAATCCCAGCACAGAGCTCTTATTTTTTAAATAGTTGCGTATATGTAAGTTTTACTGCGCAGGTTTAATCATATCATAAAATAACTGCGCAATAAAAACGTATACGCAAAAATTTTAAGAATAGAGGCCCAGATGGTTCAGCCAGAGAGAAGCATGAGAGCGGCCACCAGCCTGATTTCAATAGCCAGAGCTAGGCGCATTTTCGAGACGCCATCTAACAAAGTGCGTCTTTACTACGTTCGTTAAGCGCATTTTCGCGGTGGTAACGATAAAATGCGTCTAGTTCGTGCCCGTTGACTTCCGCGTAGAATAATAGTAAGTTAGAAAAGGACAGACGTCTAATCGTTCTATTCTTGTCTCACCACTGATGAGCGGACCGCGCGACGTAGGCACAAATATATATGTAATACTATTATGGGTGCTTTCCATTTAACAACACAAGTCGACATAAGCATCATTCTGTTTTTGGTCCATATTCAATGAGTAACAAAGATAGAATGATGCTTGTGTCGACTTGTGTTATTAAATGGAAAGCACTCTATATTGCTAATCGCTCTATGCTGCCCATATCACACTAGCGATTGGCGATTGATGATTGACGATTGAAGATTGCAACTTGACCAATTGGAACAAAGCAAGTCAAGGTTGAAGCTCGTTGATTCGTCAAAATCTAATCTTCAATCGTCAATCATCAATCGCCAATCGCTAGTGTGATACGGGCTTTAATTAATCAATTCTTACGTTACGTCTTACGGTTACTGTTACGAAAAGCGTGTGTGGTCAGCTTTAAAAAGAATAGGCTTATTGTATCGAACGCACCGACGCTCTCTGTCATCGTATATTACATTTTACGACATCACGCGGGAATTTATCGAGTACTATTAGATAGAATTGACCGACCGAGGGCGCCACCTAGTACAGGGTGCTACTCAGCAGATATCTTGCAGAACTGCGAACGCGCGCGATGTGTTGGTACGTCAATACGTTCGACACGCACTCTCTAAGCATCGTAGCTTCCTTACTTCTCTTTTGAATTACGTGTCCACCTCATTTATCTATCATATTTTAAGTGCGGCGATTATGTAAACGCCAATTTAACGGGGAATCACGTGTTTCGAGAGATTTGCCGTGCACCAACCTCTTTTCGATGGATGACGCTATGCTGTGAGAGGCTGCAAGTCAAGACGGACAGTATGAATGGGATACAGACGGTGTATAAGTTAGTGTGATTTCGTATATTTCGCAAAATCGAGAGCTACACAACATCGCTCATTCGCTCATGCGAAAGTTCTACGTGACATTTCGTTACAAGCGAGACGGTAATGAACATAGCTGCGCCATCGTGCACTTTGAAGAACTTTGTATTTCGCGCCACTGTGGCATAAGGTACCGCAACTCGTTGCGAGATAGCGTCACTGTGGAGAGAGCCGGCTGGCGTTCAGAGCGCGTCCCCGAGTGCGTCGACTGCACCGAATACGTTTCCTCAGCTTTCTCGTGTGTCACCGTGTCGCGGCGGGTGCTCGACCGCCGTCGTCTTCACGGGCACTCGCGTCGTCGTACACCTTTGAGGAGAATCCGGAGATCGAGTGTTGTGTGTCGGTCGTGAGGATTCATCGCGACGTGTGACATCGGTACGTGCCGTAAAAACGGTTACGCGATCAAGGAAGCGAGAGAGAATAACGGAAAAACGGTCAACGGCGACGTGTAGAAGTACACTCTCGCTGTGCTCGCAGCGCTCATGTGTGAGTGTATGTGTGCGTGCGCGCGCGCGTACGACGGTTGACGTGTGAGCGCGTAGAAGTGAGAGAGAGCGAGAGAGAGCGCGCGCGTGTGAGAGGCGGCGGCGAATTGCGGGAGAGAAGAGGAGAAGAGAGGAGAGGAGAAGAGAAGTGGGAAGTGTGTCGCGCGCGCGGACGCACCGTCGTCATCGGCAAGGAAGGTGCCCGGAAGTCGCTTTCTGCTCGCGCGAGTATCTGCCTGCGAAAGATAGGTAGACTGATAGAAGGAGAGAGGGCAATCGCGCGGGTGGGCGAGGTATCCCGATAGGAGAAGGTAGAGAGGGAAAAAGAGAGAGAGAGACAGACGACGAAGAGGAAGAGTCGGGTCAAGAAGAAAGAGGTGATCCATCAGCTTGGGTGCGCGAGTTCGTATCCGTGAGACGAGGAACGAGAGCAAGTTGTGTGTCTCGTAGAAAGAGAGAGGAAGAGAAAGAGAGAGAGAGAGAGAGAGAGAGCCAGTGACGAGGAGGATTGCGTCGCGGACGAGGAATGTGAGAAGCGACTGAGCGGTGCCGTGTAAACACGCGTCTCGACGCGAGGAAAGGCGAGGCAGCCCACCAGCGACGTCGTCGTCGTCGCAGCGTTCGATGTCGTTGGCTTCTTTCCCGTCATCACTCTTGTCATCACCGTCATCATTCGTAGTATTATCGTCATTAAACATCGACGTTGCTCGCCAGTGAAGAAGCAGCAGCCCCGAGATCCTGGTTGCAGCTCAGTATCGTCGCAGCTCTCGGCAACTGCTGGAGCTCGCGAGGTTGCTGCGGCATCGATCATCAACACCGACACTGCCGACACGCGTATGTGAATCCGCATCACAAATGACAGTGTACCGGACTGCGGGCGGACAAGCGGGGTGCTGGCTAGACTCGTTGCCGTCGTCTTCGTCGGTTTAGCGGACAAAGAGGTGAGTACATTGCGCTCGTTTCATCTTCTCCTACGGTCCTTAGTGGACTCTTCTGTAAAAATGGCCTCGTACGGTCTCCTTTCCCGCGGAGACAGTCTCGCGATCGTGGTATCGTTCTTGTGAACGATCTCGTCGCAGAACTGTTTTGTCACCGATAATATTCCGTTACGGTCTATGCATGCTGCAGCCTCCGCCTCCGAGGAATGCTGCAGCAATCGCTTGGAGCAATTTGCGATCACTTCTTTAGACAAGAGATACAATATGTAATTGTTTGCAATCATTAGATTGTTTATGAGTGTGTGTGAATTTCTTCAAGCGAATTTTACAGAATTCGTTCAACAACAATCTCCCCACGGCTGTGACTTTCAAACTGCCGTTAATTTGCGCACATTTATCAGTTATGAGTATCGGATATTTTCGGTGTCAACGCGCAGTGTGTCGCAGAATAACATTACACAACGCTCGTTCTTCTTATCTGCGTATTGTGCACACTTTTCTATAGTCTTTATCTCCCTTCTTTCTCCCGTCGAAGGACGGTACGTGTGACTTGCTGCGCTCCAACTGCAACGAGCATAGGAAAACCGCGTGCAGACCGAAAGGGCAAATCTATTATCGATTGAATTTCGCTCCATTATTCCGCTCGAAAATAGTTCGTACATTCGCGGCTTGACTGTGCCAAAGGCGGCACACCAACAATACTCACGTCGGCTTCCCCTTGGGTTCCCGTATTTTTACAGTGCAAAACGCGCCTCAAGGTAAACGTCTGATATTTTTCCGCATCACGCGCGAGGGATTCCTCCACGCGACAACAATACTCGCACACAACCGTGGCTCTGTAAAAAAAAAAATTTCTGCGTGCGACGCGACGCGATGCACTCAGCCGTTGCATAATGATCTCGTCAGCCGGTAACGTCTCGAGCAACAACGCATTCGTCAACAAACGGCACGCCGATTGTGCGTGTAAATAATCAGCGGACACGACGTTATCGCGCTTCAATATCGATCGCTCGCCGGCAACCGTTCTGGAAACTTTATCTCTCCGCGAGATATTCGGGTGGGTCCGTCTGGTCGAATAAATTCGCGAGTGTATCGCAAATCTGTCAGCCCATACGCGATCTTAAACGCGAATTTAAACGCATCCGACGCGCGCAAACACGAGATTGGCGAGAGTTGTTGTCGCTTCATCGGTCATCATCTTCGTCGTCGTCGCACCGCCGTCGACTCCCTTGTCCATAACCTTGCTTTAATTCTTAAGCTGTAAGAAATTGACCAACTGCAGTTGATTATTTTTAAAATAATCGACTGTGGTTGGCCAATTTATTACGACTTAAAGATTAAAGCAAGGTTGTGTAGGGGTTAGAGTGATCAGCTCTTAAGTCTATATCAATAGTTGTTATTTGAAACTTGTCTCAGGTGAAATACTCATATTTCAATACAGATGAGAGATTTTCTATTGAATCGCAATTACTGATGTAAATGTTACGTTTATCATAATTCAATTGAAAAACTTGGATCTGATTCTGAATAAAAATCTGAATATCTCAACTGAAATAAATTTCTACTATCAATATGGGCCTTAGAGTTAAGTATAAGTTTCTTAGCTGAGTCGCGATTATAATACAAATATATATCAATGTCATATACAGTACAAAATGTACATAATTCAAATAATAGACTCAGATCTAACTCCAAATTCGAGTATCTCACGTAGGACAAGTTTCAAGTAACGACTATTAATACAAATCTTAATCAACCAGTTTTGGGATACTGACCTTAAAAATCGGGATTTTGTTATATCAGGCTATCCAAAATATTTCAAAGTACTCAAGTCGAAATTGTAGTCCTATTTTGGGCTTGAAATTTCTGACGTCTGTATATTCTGAAGAATCAATATATATGTAATACATATAGAAACTGAAATCTTATTTAACGCTTTTAAATAGCAGAAAATATAAAATGTCAAAATGTTGTAGATTCTAAAAGAGGGCCTCTCGGCAAAATAAGGTAAATTAAATAAAATTGAAAGATGTTGATATAGACTTTGGAATATCAAAATAGATGTTAAATAGAATGTTGAGGTCGATAATAGGATGGGAATTTCGACTCGAGTACCTCGTAATATTAACATATGTATTTTTCTTAATTATTACATATCTATATGTATATTTCTATAGGTATCTTAATAGGTATCTAAAAAAAATAGTTTAAATAAATTAGATACTTAGGCAAGTAAAATAAAATGTTTATTTATTATTAGATCAATATCAATCAACAGAACATAATGTCGTATTATTTTTTTAATATACATTATTAATCTAAAGCTAGAGTGATAAGATCCTTAAAAATTAAAGGTTAATCAACGGAGCATAAAAGCAATGGAAAATTAACATAAAAAATACTTTTTTCTTATTACATAAATACGTAATAATAAAGTTTTATATTTTTTTATTTTACGTTATGTAGTAAATTGGGATAAACGGTGTTCCGCTTGGGAAGTTTTTTGGAACGTCTCTGTGTAGAGGGACGAAAACTGGGATATCCCACGAAATTCAGGTCGGTCGATCACTCTGTGTACGACTCTGCACGAGAGGAAACAATAAATTCTCTCGTGGACCGATCAATTATCGTTTCGCAGGAAGCATGGTATTTCCGAGGTTGCCGTCTCGCGCGCTCGCGCGTTCTTTCCGACGTAGTGTTAATCATTGTTACGAACGCGATACAAAAGCCGAGGCGGAGAATCACCACGGTTATGAATAATTGTTCCGTCGAGCGAAGCAAAAGTTACGACGGTTCGGTATTGTGCGCCGAGCTCGAAGTAACTCCGAGCAATTTCGACTTCCAGGTTTCTAGAATTTCGACAGAAGCGCAGTCGCGCGATGCAACAGTTTCAGGAATCGCGGTTTTCAATATGCAGATAAAATTGCGATGTGATGTAAACATCACGGAGAATTGAGGAAAACGTTTTTCTTCGTTTTACATAACGAGATTGGCTGAAAACGTAATTATAATAAAATTGAATCTACTTAATGTCCGACGTTAAAGATAATTACCGCGGCAGACATAGTAATAACAATAATAACTAATTATTAATTATGACAATAATAGCGATTGACAATAATTTCCATGGTAGAATTCCCACAATCACCGCCGTCAGGAGGTTGCCGACAAATAAACCGCGGGGTCAGATTCGCGTGTAATTAAATCCGGACCGCTTTGATCCTAATAAAACAGACGGATGCGCGCCGAGCGTTTCGCGCGAAGCCCTGATGATAAATTGCATCTCCGTTCCCAAAATCGTATTCTTTCGCCTAAATGAACATCTGGCGCGCTCGGTACGAGCAAAACTAAATACGCGGGCTCCAATAACGCGCGGCTTTCGCTGAAATTACAATTCAAACGCAGCCGCGTGCCCGCACCATAATACCGCGACACCAGTACGCGCACCGCGAAGCCCCGAATGTGTCGGATTGATCGAAATTAAAATTGAATTGACCGTACACTTTCGATCGCGAAACAACTCGCACTGCGCGGATAGTTTTTACGATAACCCGCGTTTTACGGCTGCCGATGTCGTAATAGTTAAAGGCGGCACTGCTAGTGGCACTTTATCCGCCTCGATTTTTTCCCCGAGGAACAAGAGAAGAGATTAATGTCACGTGCGGTTATTATCATTAGACACGGACGATCGCGCGTGCACCTCAACCGCGCGACCTCAGCTCCGGCGAGCACATCGAGGACAATGACAATCGCGCGCGACGCACATCCTCTCGTCGTGTGGCTCGAAGCTTCCACGATTAAAATAAATGTCTCAGTAATTAAACATTGTCCCGATAATTAATCATATGTTTGTATTTAATACTTTTTAAAGAAACTTTAGTACTTGAACGCTGAAAGAAAATTATAGTTGCTTTTGGCGTCAACTATACTTTTTGTGATTTTAACCACAAAAATAACTAGATTGCTTTAGTAAGTGTTATTAGAAAGATGGTTCTTCTAATTATTTTTGTGGTTAAAATCACAAAAATAACTAGATTGCTTTAGTAAGTGTTATTAGAAAGATGGTTCTTCTAATTATTTTTGTGGTTAAAATCACAAAAAAACATAGTTGATGCCGAAAGCAACTATAATTTTCTCTCAGTAAACAAGCGAATTTTCTGCAACGCACTTTTCCTTACATAATCACACAAACCTGTGAGTACTCTAGACTCCACATTGTAAAAACTGATATGTTAAATTTAACACATTTCATGTGTCCCAAGTCATCCACTCTCATTTATGTGTAAATTTAACACAAAACAAATGTTAAAAAGTAACACGCATAATATGGAAAAAATTAACACAAGAATTTAACACTTGAATACCGTTAAGAATCACAGGTTGTGTTAAATTGACATATTCAATTTATCATTTTCATTTCATCAAAACCATAGATTAATACTTCTCTCAAATGTTAAAGTAACGTTTTATTTTAGTTAATTTAACATTATATATATGTCAATTTAACACAAACTGTGATTCCTGACGGTATTCAAGTGTTAAATTCTTGTGTTAATTTTTTACATATTATGCGTGTTACTTTTTACCACACTTGTTTTGTGTTAAATTTACACATAAATGAGAGTGAATGATTTGGGACACGTGAATGTTAAATTTAACACATCAGTTTTTACAGTGCAATTGCTCACTTGAATCACAAAGCGCCCTATACCTTAACTTTAAAATAAATAAATAAATGCAAACTGTTCATTCACTGGGTGCTGTTCAATTACTGGGCAGGTATGCTCTGTGCTGTAATGACGTTATTTTTAGAAGCCATTGTTAAGTAGATTTTTCTTACTGTCCTGATTACCCAGCCGATAAAGTTCACTTATCGATGAAGTTTACTAAAATTACGCGGTCTAACATATTTATAAGCTTGGCGGCGAGGCCTCCCGCGAAGTTTCCGCAAAAACATCCGCCGCGTCTCGCGTGTTACCTGTAAATGGCGGGGCTTTGCCTCA